AAGTTGTCAAATGGTAATTTATAATTATGATTTCTAATAGTAATCATCAAATCATCAAATCATCAATTTTAGATATTTATAGTAGATAGACACTTATTCTTTGATACAAGGCATATTTTTTGTTTAATTTAGCTATACTTTCACTTAAATAAGAAACTCTGGTGGTACAGTGCCTAAGGCATTTGACTGCTAACCAGAGGTTGGTGGTTCAAACCCACCAGCTGCTCTGTGGAAGGAAGATGGGGCAGTCTACTTCAGTAAAGATTTACTGCCTTGGAAACCCAATGGGATTTTTTTTTGAGGGGGGGGTTCATTCAAAAAGGCTGTCTTGGTTCTCTGTTGTTGTTGTTGTTATGTGCCATTGAGTCGGACCTGACTCGTAGCAACCCCTCCTTGGGTTTCTGAGGCAGCATCACTACGGAAGTAGATTGCCCCATCTTCCTTCTGAGGAGTGGCTGGTGGGTTTGAACTGCTGGCCTTCTGCTTAGCAGTTAAGTGCCTTAGGCACTACGCTACCAGAGTAGCTACCATAGTAGCTGCTATAATAGAAATACCACAAATGGATGGCTTAACAAACAGGAATTTATTCTCTTACAGTTTAGGAGACTAAAAGTTCAAATTCAGAGTGCCTGATCTAAGGGTCAGGTGAAGGCCCCTTGACTTTGGGCTTCAGCTCTGCCTCTTGTTCCAGGCCCACTGGAGCTGGAGGATTCTTATAACTCATGCAGCTGCTGGCTGCTGAGGCTGACAAACCAAGGTCTGCAAGTAGAATGGCACAATCCCAAGATCAACAGGCACATGGCAGACCACTGGTTCAAGTCCAGGAACATTCCAAAGATTGGCAGGCAACATGAGAGACCACGGAGATGGAGATTCAGCCAAACACAGGATCCAATTGTGCCAAAAGCTAGACTGTCCCAAAGCTTTTCCTTATATACTGGAAGCAGGCCACACCCCAAAGAAGACTACTTAGCAGCACATAGCAGGTTTACCATGGAGGTGACTATAGTCTCATCCTGGGGAGTACCTACATCCATCTGCCCAGCCACTCAAAACCACAGCCCACACAAGTTGACACACAACCTTAACTACCACAAAGGGCACCATTTGACAAAGGCAAAACAGACTTTCTAAAGATTCCTCAAGTATTAGAAAATTTATACATTTTAAATCTGAATATTTTAAATATAAATCTTTGTGAATTTTTGAGATTTCAGAGAAAGAAAACATTATTCCAAGAAGAACTGCACATAATACGGGCTAGACGTTGTTCAACACATTTCCTTATAATAAAAAGGTAGGAAGGGAATATAAGAAAGTTACAAAAATACAAAGGTCATTTATTTGTAGTTTTACTACTCCAAGATCTGGTCACTCTGGGGTTTTGATATGTCTGATAATGATTAAAAAAAGATCCATATGATAAAAGAGTCAAACCCAGACATACAACCCAGGTGTTACACACAAACTATTATCTTGGCCATATTACTTATGCTGCTTTTCCCCATCTGACAAATAATGCCATCACTTGCTTCATATTAGTGTTGTTGTTGTTAGGTGCCATTGAGGCGTCTCCAACTCATAGCAACCTTATGTACAACAGAATGAAACACTGCCTGGTACCGTGCCAGCCTCACAATCCCTGCTATACCTGAGCCCATAGTTACAGCCACTGTGTCAATCCATCTCATTGAGGGCCTTCCCCTTTTTTTCACTGACCCTCCACTTTACCAAGAATGATATCCTTCTCCAGAGAATCGTCCCTTCTGACAACATGACCAAAGAAGGTAATGCGAAGTCCAGCCATTCTCACTTCCAAGGTGCATTCCGGCTTCACTTCTTCCAGGACAGATTTGTTAGTTCTTTTAGCAGTTAGTGTTAGTCAACAAATTATTGAGGAAAGCTGATCGATCCACCATGCCAACAGGTCAGTGCCATGATTACTCCAGTAGTTATGATGACTGATAAATGCTTTGTGCCTTGCATACCTTGCTTTTCATCTTGTTCAGCTGCAAGACTAGAAAAGTTAAGGAATGAGATTCTAGGCTGTAAGTCTCATAAAGTGACTTCTGGTGATGGCCAGTGTCTTGTGAAGAATATTCAAAAGAATCCAGTTTACAGAACTTTAAGGAAGGTAACATTAATATAAATTATCAACTTGCTTTATCTGGCATTGGTAACATACATTTATTCTGCATCAAATAATCACTGTCATTTGATTATTTAGTTGAACAGATGGATGAATTAATTGAACATCCATAACCTGATAGCCTTATTTTGTGCTTTTTATTATAGGGCAAGTAATTAGCAACAAAATAGAAGTAGTACAAATTGAACTGTTAAGCTTACTAAATGATTACACTAAAACAATTTCCATTTGAATAATCAAATATCAAATAGCATCAAAATAAATATATGACATGAAAATTGGAAATTAGAGTGAAGAAAATTTCAAACTAAAGGAAACTGACGTGAGTGAGTTCTTACTGAATGGATTTAGTTTGTTTCTTGATCCTCTAACCAATCATGTCAACAGTGACAAAAGATATGCAAATTTAAGCAGACAATAGTCAAGCCAAACTGTCTGACTCATACCAACAAGGACATTTTCAGCATATATTTAGCTTGATTCACACCACCAAGGGTCAATGTAACCAAAGAACATTTTAATATTCTTGGCTATTATCTGAAAACTCTACTATAATCATTGTCCAAAAACAATGCAAATAAGACTCAAACTTATTTCACAAAAATTAACCTGTGAAATATTAGCATAATTTGAGCCCAGAAGAATCACATCTTTACCTTGTCACATCTGAATAATTTCATAACCAAAAATCCACTGCCATGGAGTCAAATCTGACTCATAGCAACATTATAGAACAGAGTAGAACTGCCCCCATAGGATTTCCAAGGCTGTAAATTTTTACAAAAGCAGATAGCCTTATCTTTCTCCCATGGAACCACTGGTGAGTTTGACCCACTGACCTTTTGATTAGTAGCCAAATGCCTTAACCACTGCACCACCATAGCTCCTCTGAATAATTCCATAGCAACATAAAATACACATTTCTTTTTAAACTATCATTTTGATTGTATGCTTTAAGCAAACAAAACATTATACTTTTGGGAGGAGAGCTCATTTAAGCAAATTTGGGGCTGATATCCCTCTCCACTCCCCTCAAAAAATATTAATATTAATTTATAATGATTAATTGTCTTTAGAGAGTATATGAATGATGTATTGAAAATAATAATAAACTTTGGAAAAAATTCATTTGTTTACCATGGAAATAAGTTTTACCAAAGAAAAAAAAAACAAACAAACATATCTTTTTATAAACTGTCACTGTAGATAATACCCGAAACTTAAGCTATAATTACTAAAAGACTGCAAATTTCCCTTTGCTTCCTCTTCAGCATATTTATCAATTTCACCTGCAGTCTGTAGTAGAAAGATTAACTACAAATTCAAGGTCTGGAAATTCTAGAGCTACCAAGTTTCTGTTAACAAGGCAAATATCCTAACAGTGATCTTGGTTCAGTCCCTAGAGGACAAAAGCAGAATAACTGTTACATGGCATGAATCAGCGGGTGGTGATCTCAGTGAGTGTGACCACACAGGAACAAAAAGAGCATGTATCCTTCAACTCTCTTTTATCTTCTTACAGAATATGTACTGTTAACAGACTACGGTACAGAAGGCTGGTTGCATTCCCACTCTACCCCTCAAGTGAATCTACAGGCAAAGATCTTGTAGTGGGAAGCTTTTCACTAAAGGGGACATTGCCACCCTTCTAGTGATGTAGTTGAACGCACATATTGTTCACTGCTTACCTGTTAAACAATTCACCAGAGAACAGAGTGAGAATTTACTGCAGGAACCATATTCACATTTCATAGGCATATCTTCAACCAAAAACTTTGAAATGGTTTATAGATAAATAACAAAACAACCTGCTTTAATTGATTTCCATAAATCAAGATTAAATGCGTACTCAGCATTGACATTCATCTGGATACATTAATACTCATCCATACCTGCGCTGTTCTGAGAAGTGGTACAGGATATAGCAGAGTTTACATGCTAAATCTGCAGGTGCATGTCCCAAGGGACCAGTCACCACCAGCTCAATTTCTCCCTTCTTTGTGGGCAAGCAACCTCTTTCTGAAGAATCCACATTAAAACGTATCTTCCCTATTGATTTTCTCAAGCACAGAATCAAAACAGGACAGAAACCAGTTCTCTACTATTGTACTACTTACTGAAAGGAAGTTTCTTCATACATTTACATTCTTAATCCATTTGTACAATTTCCCCACCAAATATACAGTGAAACCTGTGAGAACTACAACTTGAGATTGTCTTTTTCTTTCTCCAGATCTCACATATTTTCTGCCTCTGACAGGATGCACTCTTATCACTTTTCTATCTACCATTTTAGTGGAAAACATTTGAGTTTTCCTTCTCTGACAGGATTCTGTCTTAAATAGGTTCCACCCTTTGCAGGTTTTGCTGTATTTTATGTTTACTCTCACTCCATGTGAATTTTACCAGAGATTAAAAAATGTATTTTGTTGCGATCCTAGCTGCATAAAAATTTTCTGGTGTAAAGCCCATTAAAGCCCAAATCAGTATTTATTATTTTCTTTTTTCAACAACTTGCTCACCATGTACTTGCTTTCTTTTTAAAAGTTGGGTTTTGACAATCAGACTACTAGTCAAGCTCAACTGTGAATAAGAGCAAAACAGACATGTCACAAAATATGCCATGCTAGACACACAAATGGGGCTCCAGCAGAACTTTATAAACTAGCAAAAGCTTTAAAACCTGGGTTTACGGCGACGTGAAACCGAGTAAGCCTTCTTGTCTTTGCAAATACTGCCCCCCTGGAGCCAAAGGTAAACACGCAGATTTCCCCCAGAGGAATTGTAGGTTAGCTGCAGCGCTGGAAGGGAAAAGGCTCCGTGCAATTAGAAACTGAAAGCAATCACTTACTTTTTGCAGCCACTGAGTATAATTTTCCATCACATGCTCCAGATGTTGAAGTTTCTGGGAAGAGAAATCGGGTTCCACGTGTGGAGCATCTCTTTGCAGAGCGTTTGTGTTGTACTGGTCTGTCGTACTCTCACGACAGTTCCCGTCGTGTTCTGGAAGAATGAAAGTGTAGGCACATTGCCCATGTTGAATCCGGTTGTATCTTCTGCCACCGTTTTCTGGACTTCGGCGCTGGTTGCTGCACCCTATGTGAGTCAGAATGGCAGCGAGGAAAGCAAAGGAAAGGAAAACTGTCATTGTACTGCCAGCGCTCTCCGTCCGTGCCTCTCGCAAAACTTGCTCCTTTCTTCTGCCCTTTAGACTAGTTCTTTATTACAGGTAAAGCTGCTTGTTTGTTTGACTTTTTCCCCCTGCAAGAAAACTTTTGAAGAAGAATCATAGAATACTAGCCATTTGTTAGTTTTGCTCTAAAATGTTTATTATTATTATTATTATTACTTTACTGCAATGATAGTTTCCTTAGTTAAAACTTGAGATATTTATTGCATAGTAGCTGAGATTTATTGTTTCCTCTCTGTAACAGTTCAGCGTGGAGCCTGCCTGAGTCAGCTGCATGTACATATTCTAGACCCTTTCCTCTACCCTATCTGCTGCAGATCTGCTATTTTCTCCCAGACCTCAGTGAGTTTTATTAAGGTTGCACATCCAAGCCAAGCTGGAAGCAGGCAGCCTTTCACAAGATGACTTGACAGGAATGCATGAATGTGCCCCTATGCTAAGGATTGCTGATGGCTCAGGGCGGCGGGATCGTCTTACAAATTGGCTAGATGCGCATGACCTCAATCATGTATGGCCCGCCCGCCCCTTCCGCAGACAATTGCCTCCAGCCTTAGGCAGATTCACGGAAAATCAATAAACAGAGAAGTCCACCTTAACACACTTCTGGTGTGAGTACTGACCTACTAAAATCTAGCAAACTAACAGTATTTTTTTGTTGTTGTTTTGTAAGTTTCAATTTCATTGGGGAACCCTAAGAAGAAACTAGGTATAATGTCTGATGACATTATTTTTGACAGTGGATGATAGATCTGTACGATAAAATATTTGTTATAAAACATTTATGTTTGACCCTGGGGAAAAGATATTTAAAACCACTTTTGAAATACTTTTCTTTCATTGTATTCATTTAGATTTTCAGGAAGTGAAAAATTAATCAGAGAGACTCAAATTAGCCAAAAAAAAAAAAAAAATCGTAATTTGTTTCTCAAAGAATTATACATGAGTATACTACATAGAGTGATCTAAGTATTTCTAGAATATGGATTTTAAATGAAACTGTTTCCATGATCAGAATGCAGCACTACATGTTCTGTGTATATAAATTGAGCAGCTTTCTTAGAAAAACAATATGGTTACTATTTAAGACAGTGGCCTGGGAGTTATTAATTCCTGTGGTTCAACCTAATCGTGTATTTCACAAAGATCTCTTTGGTGTTGCAATGGCTATCCTTAACACCACAGTGAAGTGCTACACAAATCCTCCGGTGGCTGCATGGCTCAACTATCCGAGAACAAACACATATCAGGTGTGCCGATGGGCCAACAAAGGACTGCACAGGAGAAGGCGATGTGTTTCTATTAGGGAGGAAATAGATATGATCAGAAGGTAATTCCCAAATGCAGGGTATTTACCTGAATAAAATAAAAAAAAACCAAACTTACTGCCGTGGAGTTGATCTCGACTCACAGCACCCCTTCCTTGGGTTTCCAAGGAGGTATCTCTGTAGAAGTAGATTGCTCAATCACCCTTTCAAGGAATAGCTGGTGGGTTTGAACCACCAGCCTTCTGGTTAGCTGTCAAATGCCTTAGACACTATGCCACCAGAGCTCCCCACTTGAATAAAGGAACTAGTAAAACATAAAGGAGCTCTAGTAGCGTAGTGCCTAAGGCTCTTGACTGCTAACCAGAAGGCTGGTGGTTCAAACCCATCAGCCATTCCTTGGAAGGAAGGTTGGACAATCTACTTCCATAGTAATAATGCCTGGGAAACCCAAGGAGGGGTCACTATGAGTTGGGTCCAACTGGATGGCACATAACAGCAAAACATAAAGAACAGGAGATAACTACTGCACGTAAGATAAACCACTGAGATTTCCACTAGATGTGTCAAAACCTGAAGTTATGAATAGGGGCTTCCCTCAAGGACCAAGAGGGATTTGAGGCAATGGAGCTTTACAAGGTAGTCATGATGTTAAAACAGAAGCCACAGAGGTATTTTCCCCTATTCTGAAAGGCATCAGGGCGGAGGGTGAAAGGTAGCAGAGGTTAGAGGTGGGCTGGTGTTTAGGGAGAAGTAAGAGGAGAGGGTAAAACAAATTCCAGAAACAACATGATTTACTTGGGGAAAAAAGAAGGATTGAAATCCATCAGTCCTTTCCACATCAATAACAAATTGCTGATCGGATAGACACGGAAGCAAGTCATGCCACACTCAACAATGCAGTCTTTGAACCATCTGTGCAGCCTTCTCTGGCACTGATGCCCTGGCTAGCTAATAGGTCACCCAGGTGGAATAATAATATAGGAATGATGTATATTAAGAGCTAAACACCTTTTACATATTATTGCATTTAGTTATTTCAAAAATCCTAATATATAGATATTATGTTTAACCTCAGGGAAACTGAGTTGCAGAAAGACTTGTTGGTCATAGTCACATAGCTACAAAGTGATGATGCCAGCATGTGAACTCAGGTAAACTAGGCCACATAGGGCAACAGAGCCCACGCTTCTACTGTCAAGTCAATCTGCCTTTGAAAACCTCTGTGAAGAATGACAGCAACTACAAAAGGGTGCCAACAGCCTTGATTTACAGTCCTGAAGCAGAGTAAGTCGTGGAACCTAGAAAAAGAAAAGTTTATCCATCCCAAGCGATTTAATTCACTCCCTGTACAAAAATAAGAAGAGAGAGAGAGAGGGAGGGAGAGAGGCAAAGAGGGTTAAAAGAAGGAAGGAATAGAGGGAGAGTGAGGGAGGAAAGAAGGAAGGAGGGAAGGAAGGAGGAAGAAGCTCTGGTGATTTCTTTAAGGTTCTGAACTCAAATCTATGAAAAGAAAAGTTGTTGTTGTTATGTGCCGTCGAGTCGGACCTGACTCATAGCGACCCCTCCTTGGGTTTTTGAGGCAGTATCACTATGGAAGTACATTGCCCCATCTTCCTTCCGAGGAGTGGCTGGTGGGTTTGAACCACCAGCCTTCTAGTTAGCAGTCAAGTGCCTTAGCGCCTAGTAAAAGTTAAGCTTGTTCAGAAATTTCCAGTGTGACAAAGAATGCCATTTGTAGGGGAACTTGATGGCCCTCAACAATCGAAGAATCTGTCTTTATCATTTCTTTGTGAAGCTTTCCTAATTTCTCCAGGCTGAAAAATGGCTCCTTCCCTTGTATTTCAATAACCTTTTCCTCATGTCTCCAGAACAGTATTTCTCACGCTGCTTTCTAATTCTCTATTGGTCTGTTTTCCTCTCTAGCTATGGGCACATAACGTGATCTCCTCTCATCATGGAGTCTACAGCATTCACAGTATATTTTGGTTGAACGAATGAATGAATAAAGGAGCTAATTAATTACTTAATTGGTAGAGTTTCCTCATTTAGTGTCTGGCTACTACATGACTGGCAACATCTGTTTCATTGGTTGGGTGAGTTTGCCCAAAATCTATGAGCATGAGGGAACTGGATGAAGCCAAACTTATTTTAAGGGATAAATTAGACACACAAACATGGTACAAGAATACTAAGTAACATTTTTGAATACTTACTAATTTCCTCCTTTAATGTATATGGAAGCTCCATAAGTACATACTATTATTACCATTTTAGAGATGGGAACTCCCGACATGTATGTGTTATACAGTTACACAAGATCTATGATCTCTTATGTGGCACAACAGGAAATTTGTACTTGATCCATCTGATGTTTGCAGTCCATGGAGCTCCTCAGCGTTAGGAGAGACATAAGGAATTCTTTAGAATTTAAGGGGCAGAAACAGCCTGAAACCTATAACTCAAATTTGTTCCCTCTTCCTCCCCACTATGGATTCATGTTATGATCCTCTAAAACAGGGCTAGGATTCACCAACAGAGCTGTCCCATTTGTTTACCAGTTCAAAATGACCAATTAGGTTGTAACTTAGATCCATTCTGAATGGCTAGTCTAGTGCCATATCATTTATTATAAATCTTAATTGTCACGCTGGCTCTAAAATAAAACTGTTGTCATTTGTTGTCAATTGCTGTTGTTGGCTCCACCCCACGGTGAAACTGCCCAGTCCTGTGCCGTCTTCACAGTTTTAGTAAGTTTGAGCCTATTATTGCAGTCACTGTGCAATCCATCTCATGGAGGTTTTCCCTCGCGTTGCTGACCCTCCACTTTACAAACATGGCGTCCATTTCAGTGATTGGTCTTTCTTGATGCCATGTCTAAAGTAAGCAAGATGAAGTCTTGCCATCCTCACTTTTAAGGGGCATCCTGGCTATAATTCCTCCAAGGTGTATTTGTTCATTCTAACGACATAAAGTAGTTTATTTCTCTAAAGCTCCTTCAGTCAATGAGACACAAGGTAGCATTCCTCTGAAACTCAAGTGATTACATATTATGCCAAAAGCCTTCTTCACTCAACCGTGAAGCCATCAAAGGTATGTACAACAGATGGAAGCATCCAAGGGGCCAATGTAGAGAATCAGTACAATGGAGGCTATCACATGGTGACTGACTGTACTTAATAAGTACACGTGAAATGACTTTTGGGACGTGCTGGACTTAATTAGAGGGACTTCACAAAGAACTGAAGGTACTGCAGTTGGTGGTGGTAAGGGCTGGAGATATATAAGTAAGGAAGGAAAATTATTATATAAATACTCCCCTGTCTTCAAAAGAGAGAAATTTTCTGTAATTGGGGTTCCTTGCTTGATAGTCAGGTTACTTTGTTTTGTTTTTTATGATAACCCAGTTTCAAAATCGTAGTTCTGCAGGTTGGAAAAAGGCAGAAACAGAATTCATTGATTCTACACGAAAAAGGAGGGAGGGCATTCAGAGACTCGCGGAATGATCTAGAAATGGAAGACTGAAGCCAGAGAGTTAGAGGTTCAGTGGAAGAAGGGCCAAAAGGGGAGAAGATCTGTGGCTATGTGGCCTTCAGTAAAGTACGTTCTTTGGGACAAGTGACATCTTTAGGGCTATACATGGAAACAGCCAACATTTGGATTACACATACTGTTATTATGAACCCAATTAAAGTCATTATTTTTTCCATGTTGGTCTTTCACAGTAGATTAGAGAATACCTGTGGTCTGAAA